TGTTTTTAGATTCGTGACAGACAACACTAAATAAGACTCACAAACGGATATCAGACTGACACGCACACAGAGCGCTTGCTGAATGACAAAAAGCTGAAGCTGGTTTCACCGCACGTGCTTTTATAGCTTCCTGGTCATTACGTCACCCGCCCGTGACGTCTCACCCATCTATTGGACTGATTACACACAAGATTCAGAGCCGGTCACTCTGAAGGGCGTTCCCGAAGCATCCTCCGACGCAGCTCGAGTTCCTGAAGAGGAACTCACTGATTAACCACCATAGTACGATGCATTGTTGTGGAAACTAACTAGCCAGTCATGACTGTTTCCTGAACACGGTCGCATCTCCGTCGTTTAAACCACATTAGTTCAACAATTTAGGGCCGTTGTTAATGACGTCACACGCATGTGGTGGAGTAATAACTTCTGCTAATTAATTGATTCGAGATGTATTGAACATGGCACCTGATGACTAACTTACTATGTTTTGTTCCCTGTCATTTTGCTTAATTTGATGTTTGATTCATCGCGGGTTTCCTCTTATGTCATACTCCAGGGTTCAGAAGATGTGTAATAGCGCCCCCTAGTGTATAACAGTGAAAACACGAAAAGCCGTAAAAACTCGTCTTTGGCGGGGAAGCGTTGTCTTCTAAAAGTCGAGATAACTCGTCAATGGCGGGGAAAGAGTTAATTGTTAACTCTTCATGATCTTTTCGCAAAAGCAGCATTGTCAGTTAGGGGTTCAAGCGTGAATAATTGAACAATGTATATTGCAGTGAGTCTGTCCAGTCATTGAGCAATTTTGAAGCATTTTCTTGTACTTTGTTTCAGTTAACATTTAATTAACATAACAACACAAACTATAACCTATATACGTACTACTGCTCATTCAAGTTAAGATGAGGGAGATAAAATATGCATTCTTACAACCATCTAAAACATTTTATTATATAAACATAGTAAAGTAAACATTGTCATAATTTATCAGTATTAGTTCATAAGCAATAGCTTGGCATAAATGTGTGCTATGCATTGATTGCGAACCGCTCTTAAGCAGCAGTCTGCAGTGCTGCTGCGTGAGACTGGAGAGCGAAACAGCGCCACGTTTCCCACGGTTAGATCAGAGGCTGGTTGCATAAAAATTTTAGACTAGTCAGTTAGTCATCTAATTTTTTTTTCTTTAAGACTGGTCAAAAATTGTTAAAATTCAGTTACATAAAAACTTAGTCTTATTCTATGGATTCAACTTAGACTAATCTGATTACCCCTTGGCTAACTGCTAGTTGGTCAGAATAAAAACACTGTCTTAACCCTTTAGGCGCCAGGGATTTTTGGGAAAAATGCTGGATTTGACATCAAGATTTCAAAAGCTTGTGGCTTGAAAGGGCTTAAAGATAGAGATCTACTGTAAATTAGAAAAATGTTGGGCATGACCGAAAATTTATGTTGGGTGTAATTATACTCGTCTAATTTGCATATTATGACGTCATCAGAGGCGGCCATCTTGAATTTCATAATATTCAGGAAATAGTAGATATTGAATTGATGTTTGAACTTATTTGCATGTTTTTTAAAAATCTTTTTATCCTCATTCCAAATGATCAGAAAAGAGGAAACCAACAATAAAACAGGAGAAAGTACTAAATTATTACTATATTACTATACTACACTGAACGAAATTATAAACGCAACACTTTTGATTTTGCCCCCATTTTTCATGAGCTGAACTCAAATATCTAAGACTTTTTCTATGTACACAAAACATCCAGCAACTTCGCACAGCCATTGAAGAGGAATGGACCAAATTCCACAGGCCACAATCAACAACCTGATCAACTCTATGCGAAGGAGATGTGTTGCACTGCGTGAGGCAAATGGTGGTCACACCAGATACTGACTGGTTTTCGGACCCCCCCGGACCCCCCAATACAGTAAAACTGCACATTTTAGAGTGGCCTTTTATTGTGGCCAGCCTAAGGCACACCTGTGCAATAATCATGCTGTCTAATCAGCATCTTGATATGCCACACCTGTGAGGTGGATGGATTATCTCGGCAAAGGAGAAGTGCTCACTAACACAGATTTAGACAGATTTGTGAAAAATATTTGACAGAAATAGACAGAAAGACTAAATGTCTTAGATCTTTGAGTTAAGCTTATGAAAAATGGGGGCAAAAACAAAAGTGTTGCGTTTATAATTTTGTTCAGTGTATATAGTAGTAAAACGCATGTGAACAGACAGAACCCTTTCACTGACCATTTGATGAAAGTAAAAGAAAAGGTCTTCTAGACCCTATTTTTACTCTTATTTGTGGAAAGTGCCACTTAAATGCTGCCTAATTGGCTTAAAAAATATAGGCGTAATATTTGTACAATATTCCCAGAAAGAGTTCAAATTCACAGCAGGACATTTGGGTGAATGCGATGGCATGCACGAGCATCAGGATCATTGGTGTTCTTGTGTGTCTGTCCCCAGAGAAGTGGGTTATGTGCTTCAATACCAGCCCTATTTAGATCCAGATCACCCCTGCGGTCTCTACCACGTCTCCCGGCTCTCCCTCACACAGCACTCCCACCTCTTTGGGGCGCTGGATCCAAAGAACTAGTGCTACTTCCAGCCCTATTTCTCCTACCCCTGCTGCCTCTACCTCTAGCAACAGCTCTCCTATGGACACTACGACCACGTTCACCGCTGCCACCCCCGTCCCCGTTGGGCAAAGGGTCGAAATGATCACTTGTTTGTGCTTCGTGAACACTCGCGCCTTGCACGGCGGCACCATTGCGCTGCAAAGATGTACCGGGAGAAGCGCGATCATTAGACGACCAATTGTCATTTCCAAAAGGCAAATATTCCCCTTCAGAGTCAGAATCGACGAATAACATTTGCAACACATCCTCACGGTACAACTTTCTATTAGCCATTTGGCGATTTTCTCTCACAAATCTCACAATTTACTCGCACGCT